CCCCTCCAGTATAAACTGTACTGAATTGCACGATTGAGCTACTTGTGTCATGCTTTGCCTTTTGAAGCATAGCACCTCCTATGTATTTCCTAAGTTTTGTGTATTCTCTAGTAGGCAGTGCTTTAAACAAGGCTCCAGCAATGGACTAGGCACCTGCCTGAGCCAAGGGAATCTGGCAAGTGGGCTCGGACTAGACCAAGCCAAATTCTAGCCACATACAAAAGGGGCAAATATAAGACCAACAATAGTAAAAATTGTACAAAAATCTAAATAATCCAAAAAATTAATACAAAACCAGGAAAACTATATAAAACACATAATAGGATTAAAATGATGTTACTGGCTTGAAAAAATGGAAACTATGAAAAAAGGAATTTAAGAAAAATGACAAAAAAACAGAAAATTATATGCACAAATGGATTATAAATCAATTATATTTAATTTAGTGAAAAATTAATCAATTTTATGAATTTAAATTGAAAAAAATAAAATATACCCAAAATTTCAAGGCCAAGCAATCCCTTGATCAATGATGTTGATGTAAATCGATGCCTTCAATCCTTGTCAAAGCTTCCTTAAGAACCCCCAATCAAAACCTCCAAACAATTATGGGTTTTGAGTTCAGATGTAGATGATCCAAGCACTTGAAAATTTTGGTTCAATAGTATTGGAATTTCAAATCTCTCAAATCTTTTTTTTTTTTTTGTATTATTTTATGAAAATCTATGATTAGATCAAGAGAACAAAAATAAGCCTACAGATTGAATTTTATCAAAGATTGACCATCGATTGGGAAAGAAATCACAAATTTTCAAAATCAGGAAAAAACCTGGCCAATCTTACTGATATAAAAAATCTGTTAAATCTGGCACTTTTTTCTCAATTTAAGCCTTCCGATAGATATATTAAGGAAAATCTAACAAATGAATTATGGCACAGTAAGCCTCTACAGTACTTGCCCGAGTACTGTACATGTCCATACAGGGCACACGTTGTCAACTGTTTCCGATTCGGCACATGTCACTAACTCCGAGTGAGGTGCCCAACTTGAAGGCAACTTTTCGACGAGTTTTAGAACACTGCTGATAGGTAACAAATTCGTTAGAGTGCTTCGCAAGAGCAAAAAGACAGCAGCACTTCAGCTCGAAAGCCGTTTTCTTCGCCGGCTCAAAGCCTACGTGTATCCACTGGCTCCAGTGCGCACTCTGTTATCTTCACGGGTAACATGCACTGTAGTTTTACACTGGCTCCAGTGCACACTCTGTTTTCTTCACGGGTAACATGCACTGTAGTTTTATTCGCAGCTAGTGTGCCCTGCAGTTTTCTTCGGTGCTGGAATTCAAGTTTTAGGACTATGGCAGCTTTCTTCAAAATCCGAGTCCCCCATCAGACTATATGGTTATAATCTGCAACTTGAATTAGCCAATGGCCTTGCAGGATCTCCTGTCGGACTTAAGCTGGCCAATGAGGAACTCGGATTTGAATATGCGATTGACACATCCATTGAACTACTCGTATCTAAGTCCGAGTTCCCTATCTTCACCGCAATATCCTTGTGAGGTTGCCTGAAATAGTTTCCTGTTCTTTGAGGCTTGTCTCCAGCATCTCCCAACCGTCCAGAATATTTTCATAATCTTTCCTCCTCTCACGCGAACCATCCTTATCCTCAAGTTCCCAGTATTTTTCCATGTTTTCCTTTTCCAGCACCAATATCCCAGCTAGTTCATTTTTCATGTTTTGACAGAGTAAATTGAGGAGGTTTTCCCAAAAGATTGCACTTTTTCCGCGACCAGTTTTCATTTCCTCTTTTATGACCTCCTGTTCCACTCACTTTGTCCTGTTTCGCAGTTCATCAATCCTCGCCCATCCCTCATTTTTCAACCCTTCTCAGTGACCTGTGTAGCTCGTTATCACTTGCAAGAGAATAGATCCCTCCTCGGGACAAAAAATATAGAGCTAAAAGGGGAAATGGCCTAGGACCATGGTGCTGTTTTACTAATCATTTGAGCTTAGTTTAACATGTGCAGTGTTTTAGAACTTGGCTCGGGCCATAAAATCAGCCTTGGCCCGAACTGAGTACTCAACTCGCTCGAGTAATGACAAATACGAAAAAAAAAAGATAAAAATAAAAAAAGGTGAGACAGCATTGGCTACGTGCCCAAGAGAGAGAGAAAGGGTGGGCATGTGGCCAAAGGGGGAGAGAAGACTTTGGCTATGTCCCTCCATCTCTGACAGGCACCTCTCTCTCTACACACAAGGGTCTCTCTCTCACCTCTCTGTTTCGTCTCTTGCTCTCACATAGGGATCTCTCTCTCTTGGAGGAGAGTGAAATGGAAATAAGGGGAGGATCTCCACCCCTTTTATAGAGAGAGATGATGCCCCCTTTTAGAGAGATGAAAAGAGGAAGATTTCTGCCCCTTTTGGAGAGAGGAGGGAGAGAGAGAGACAGATGAGAAAGGGGGGTGTGGAAATCCACCCCTCTTATGAGAGTGAGAATGGAGTGGAAATCCACCCCCCTTTGAGAGAGAGAGAGAGAGAGAGAAGCACCTAGTTGAGAGATGAAAGGGGGGCAGTGATTAGAGAAAGATCAAAAAAGGGGGGCGATGAGCCCTTTTAGTACATAAAACCCACGTACCCGAGGGGTACATGGGTACTCGCCGTAGCACATGGCTGAGGCTGAGTATCTCGGGTGTGTCCAAGTAGCTTTGACTACCACTAAAGACTGCTAAACTAGCAGGACCAGCTCATTAATCCATTCTATAGGTGGACTTTAATGCTGCCTCTCACCTCAACCTCCCTCTATTCAATAAATTTCCCGATTTGACCCAAGGATGTCAACTACCCTCATACTCTCCTTAGTATTCACCCCCAACCTATGTGGCATGGATACAGGTAACCATGTTGCCGTTACACAGGTACATGGTGTTGGATTCTTTGAGTTTCAAAAAGGAGGACTCAATGTCAAGGCCAAACACACACAAACATGCACCCAGACAGACAAAGAGACAAAGATAGAGACACAAGCACACGCATGCACGTGCATGCACACATGCACGCATAGATAGATAGATAGATAGATAGATAGATAGATAGAGAGAGAGAGAGAGAGAAAGGATATACAATGTATATCTACATCCATATGATATAAAAGCATGACTATCATGATGACTCCACCCCCATGTACCTTCATTTTGAATGCATAGGAAAGAATAAATTTTTATTTGTCATTTAATGCATAACAAAGAAGGCCAAGTTCTTTGATTGTAGAATCATAAAAAGCAAATTTTTATTTTTGAATCACATCAAAAAGTCTGTTTCACTTGAATATAGAAACAAAAGCAAGTTTTATTTTAATTATTTAATGCACAATAAATTAAAGCAAGTTTCTCATTTTTGCTTGTTGAATGCATAACAAAAGAAAAGCAAGTTTTATTTTTGATTCACAGCATAAAAGTTCACAGATCTGTTATGTGCTCTTTTGTTTTGAATGTAGAACAAAAAGCACAAGTTTTTCTTTTTTTATTTAATGATTAAGAAAATAAAGCAAATTTTTGTTTTTGTTAATGTATAACAAAGAAAAGGTACTTTTTATTTTTAATTCATTACAAGGAAGTTTGCCCTGTGCTCTATCATTTTGAACGCAAAGCAAAAAGAAGCATTATTGGAAACCAAAGTTGGAAACTTTTTAATGTGTATCCAAAGAATGAATCCAGGAGAATACATACCCGTACTTATCTAGATATGTCTCCGATGCGGGGCAAGGGACCATACAAAGAATCCATGTATATAGCTCCTAACATTACATTAAACTTCATCCTTAAGTCCAAATTTAGTAGAGCCTCCCAAACGTGACTTGAGCTAGACCCTGACTCAATCAGCTAATGCTTCCTAAACTTGTTCACTCTATGAACTGGTACTAGCTCATATGCCAGCTCAATGGGGATTCCCCAAATTCTTCATAACCTTCATCGTGGTAAATGGAATACGCCTTGATTCCATGCACTTGAAGCATGACACCATGATGATTGGCTGCTGATATACGTTTTTCTGCTTGTGCCTAACAGTAGGCCCAACATCCCCTCTTTATGGGCCTCCATCATGCTAGCTCAAGTTTCCAAAGGGCCAAGTTAGAACACTATTTTCATGACTACTGAATCCTCATAGAGGCCAATCACTTCTTAGGAGTCCCTTTTCATGCTTAGTGCCTTCACAATTACATAATGTAAGCACACTACTAATGCTCATGAGAAAAATCAATTAAAATAATAAGTTCTTTTTGCTGGGCACTCACAAAAAGTGAGTACCATACCAATGAATTGCATCCTAATGAGACAAGTCCACTGGCTACGGATTTCATTCTTTGAAAGCTGAAACTACCCATGTAAAATGATTTAAAGTGTCAAACTTACCCAGTTGAATCCAGAAATGCACAGTAATTGACTGGGTTGATCACTTTGAAAGATTAGACCACTGTCAGTTATAAGAAGATAACAAGTATTGTTGATTGCTAAAGAAAACTTTAATGAGAGGACTTGTAATGGACAACAGATATTGCTTATATAACTCTGTTACTTTACCTTTTTAATTATTTTCATAATAAATAATCAGGTAAGAATGCATTTCATGCATGGTCAATACGTACCAAATGTATCTAAGCATGCCTGACAGCATAGGTTTATTAAGCACACACTACTCATTGCTGACATTCCTGATCTTCATAGACCTCCCAAGAAAATTAAAGGAAATAACTGCAGCATTCCATACTGTGATGCACTCACTACAAGCATATCTTAGGGCTTCACATGATCTATTGCAGGAATGTGCCAAATGAGCTGCCCTGAACTTCGTATTAAGTCATAATCTATCACAATCATGAGGCTCATTCTAAACATCTCAAAAGATTACAAAGTTTCAGAAAACTCAGCTATAAATTAATAAAAACCTTCAAGTTTATTTGCATTGCTAACAAAAAATAAGCATGGAAATAGATTGCAACTGACCTGCCATTCAGTTGAGGTGGCAATAGAACACCACCCAAAGTATCTGGACTAATTCTTGATGGAGGTAGGTTTCCACGGGGAAGTTTCCTGTGTGGAAGCGAAGGAACTGATCCATTTGCCTCTCGTTTCCTTGAAGCACTTTCTGCCATAGCAGCTGCGACCCTCGATGAGTGATCACCAGCTCTCAGCTGACTCGATGAGAAAACCGGAGAATCAAAAAGATCTGAGGCATCTGGAAGTTTCTCAATGGACTGAGTAGATGAGTTTGGAGTCATATATGCTTGCGGCGGAAATCTCAAGTTCCTGCAAATTGGAAATAATGAATACATAATTGCATTTCAAGAAAGAATGAAAAGGGCTTGTTTTCAGGCAAGGAGGTAGCACCGTTCATTTCAAGATCCAAAAAGAAGAAGAAGAAAAAAAAACGTAGGACAAATAGATCATATTTAAAATATTGAGATACAAGCTTGTCATCTTAAAGGAGATACAAGTTCTTTTTGAGACAAATGCAATTCATTTCATCATGATGCCAAGCAAGGGTGTGAGGATTCCATGTAGCAGTTCATGAAAGCGTCACTTCAGCTTTTCTTGAGTCTAAGCTGTTCATAAAATGTTTTATGGGGGTTGTTTATTATTCCACAGGTGACAAAACTGAGCTCAACCTAAGCTCCTCAAGCTAAGATCACTTAAAAGCTAGGGAACGTTGTACACATACTGTGCAGTCATTTAGGCTGATTATCATTTTAACTCAACAAATCCAGAGAGAGAAAGCACATATGATCGACCATGCAGTTCAAAATTTCCCAAATAATCTTGAAGATCACTGGAACCGATAAGTGAGATGCAAATAACTATGACAAGGTCAGAACCTCAGATTTATAAGGATAACAAAACCAAGACCCCCAAAGCGCACTTCACAGCAGAGGATCTATAGGAGGGGAATCACAAAAACCGGGGCACTTTGAAAGAACTAATGGAGCATTTCAGAGTTTCCACTATCCATATACGATACCATTTCTCCAACCCATAGTTGTTGGAGAGGGAGTGGCATCGGGGGCGGGATCAGCTAGGAATTCGCCGAACCGCCCTGTAGAGGAAGCTCCTTGGGGTTAGGATTGGTGTCCGTACAGTGAATAAGACAAAGAACGAGATCCTTAGGTTTATGAGAGAGAGAGATCCCATGTCAATGGGTTCGATGTTTTGACTAGCAAGAATCTAAGCTACACTATACATAAAATTGAGGTTGTCAAGTAGAGCTAGTACGAGTTCCCTTAGTGAAGAAATCGAGGTTTAAGTATGTCATATAACGGGGTTCCTTTTATTCTAAATAATTATGTTTGGCACATGTTTTAAGTCCTAAGTATCACTCTTGGGAATGGGGAGAAGAGGCTAAAGCCGCACCACGATAAAAAAGTATAAGCGTCTTATCTTGATGCATTTGCGAGGTTGTACCCAAACGAGAATGAGAGGAGTAGAATGCGGCAACACAATAGTGATTTTGTAAGTAATAAAGGAGTCTACTCCCGACATCCATTTTCGATAGAGGAACAATGTCAGCTATTTCGTGGTGGGATCTATATAGTGGTGGGGTTCCTGAATTATATTCACAGTTGTTAAGGTGTTGTCTCAGAGTGTCAACTCATCATGTGCTGAAAGGTGCTAGAGTATGTATAGTTATATTCACAGTGTTAAGTAGAACAAGTAAATGCTCAATGCTCCGAGTCATTGGTTTGTGTTCACTACAATGACAGGTTGTTAAGTAGACTGCGATCAAACTACGCAGAGAAGTACAAAGAATGAGATTTTCATCTTGATGTTAACCACCTTGATGATGATGTTGGGGCATTAGAAGCATTAGGCGACCGCCTTGATGCTGATAATGAGGCTCGTCAGAGTGCTCCATTACCAAGGCCCATCCTTCCCGCTACATCTTCAAGCCGTGACACAAGTTTGGCATGCACCATTACCTCAGAGTCCCCAGCAACCCAGAATCCTACCACTCAAGGGTCATCTTCTTCGAATGTAGTCTCCTTTGCTTCCATTGTTTCTCAAAGGCTGGCTCTCCAAAGGGGTAAGAGGACAAGATGAACTACGCTCTCTCTCTCTCAAATGTAAAAGAATCTTTTTAAAGCTTGAAATGAAAGCATATATTCTATCTCACAAGTAAGAGGATTCATCATTGTTATTTAAGAATCTAAAACAATAGGACATCATAAATATAAGATTTTAAATGAAATATACATTCTCACAACTAAAAGGGATGGCTTACACAATAGGACTTAATAAAACATTGAGTCACTCTAGACTACGCCTAGTTCAAATAAAGAATATAAAATAATGGAACTTCGTGCTATGCGAAAAAGGGACTGGATTTTACCATCATGGAACTTATGATTCCTAAACAATGGGAACTTGAAACAATGGCAATCTCTGACCTGGTATCATCCGTTAATGAAAGTAGATCCCATAAACATAAAAAACCAATATTTTAATGTACCAAAACCTTGGACCATGGTTGATGGAAGCGGTGATCTATTTTGAAATGGAACTAGATTTCACCGATGGATGGAACGTGGTCCCCTTTTCTTGGGAGAGAAATCCCAAAATCGAAAAACCGGGGTCCCTACAAGATCCCTTTCAGGGACTGTGGGATCAAGGATCCAGAGCGGGATCGTCACCCTACCCACAAGGTTCCCTTAACTATGGTCCAACCACAGATCCTATCTCGAAAATTGAGTCTCAAGGTCCCAGAGTGATATAGTGACCAATGGTCTTGAAACGAGCAGCACCAATGGAAAGAATTGGAGAGGAAGTTAGAAGGCTAGAGCTGGTCTGTGCAAATGTCACAGGCCCCCAAGCACTCAAGCCACAAAAGGGTATAGTAGTGAGTGCATCAAGAATAGCATTCAACTTCATCCTTACGAGCCAACAAAGAAGCATCAGCACTGGGGATGAGAGGGGGAAGCACAAATGTAACTTGGTCCTAGTTCTTTCAACCAAGGCTGATACAGGCAGCTTCCAGAGGGCATAATTTTTACCTGGATGTCAATTTGCAGTGATCAAAGCACATTCAAAGATGTCTTCAAGACCTAGGATTGTTATGTCTATGAATTTAATGATGAATCTTAGGTTCACCATTCACTTAAGTTTAAGTTTTAGTTAGGAGTTCCACGTCAATCTTAATTTAGTTGTTTTGGATTTCCTTTGTTGATGATTGGAATCCTAGACCTTTTTTTTTCTTTTAATGATGGCTGTTTTATTAATTTAAAGTCAGATAGATTTAGCAGAAAACATAAACAATAAAAGGTCATACCACACTACAAGGAAAATAGCTAAGGCCGAATTACAATAGTCGCACACTCAGCACCTTCTGTAGCCAATCAATCAGCCATTAGCCTACTTAGCCATAAAACACGCAATGAGTGTATAAATGATTATTTTTCACATCCCACTACCCTCTCAAATCACTGCCAAAATTTGTGCCACTATCCAAGGTGGTGGAGCTTCCCTCCTTGACCATCTAATGAGATTGAGAGAGTATTCCTCAATATGCAATGGTGCAATCCTGAAAAAGGGCTCTAGATTCAGCATAAGTAATATCACATAGATCTAGGGGCCCTTTGAGTGGCAATAAAGACCTCTCCTTGTTGATTCCATAAGACTTCACCCACTTTTGCTGAATGCCAATTCAAACGACCACCCATAAAAATCGAGTTTAAAGCACCCGACTTCAAGCCTCTTAGTTGTTTTAAGGATTCCTTATGTGCATACAGTCTGACTAGTTAAGGTTTCCAACTTCTAACTAGAGTCATGGTCAAATTATTATATTAGTTGGAGCTTAAGATATGATGGAATTAGGAGTTAAGGGGTATTTGATTAGAATGGATTATTTTAAATACATGAAATGGAGAGAAGAGGTATTCTAATGGGCTTAGGAGCCAAGAGGTATTTCAAATACATATAAAAGGCCAATGGCAAGGACAACGGCGAGGACATTGTTTTATTTGATTATATTGTTTTATTTGATTATTTTAATGAGAATTGCTTGATTTTCTTGAAAATTAAGGTGGTGGTGATTCCATCCAAGGTGGTGGTGGGGATTCCACCCAAGGTGATGCTTATTTCATCTACTCTATGGTGTCCATTCCACAAACCCCAAACTTGTAAGATGCTGATTTTATTTGAACGTAGAAATTTCGCGCAATTTTTCTTCTTCCATCATCTGCTTCTCTCTCTATGATTCATGGCATTCATCCATTTTATCTCTAAACCCCACACTATACCCATATTTTTTTACCATCCATGGACCTCCTCTTGAATCCTACAAGCAAGCCATCTCCAATGAAGTCTGAAATCCCACATCCCTTTACTCAATTTTCTAATTCAGCCCTAAGCCCTAAATACCAGTCACATTACCTTCTTTCGTCCCTTTAAACCTGAAACCCCTTATTAAACCAATTATATCTATGACCCCATATGCATCATCTTACAACCTTCCATGCTAAACCTGAATCTCCTCCATCGCTAACTACGTAACTATAACCCTAGCTCTCATAAACCATAACCCTAATTGCATACCAAGATCTCACAAACCCTAATCTTCGAAATCCTAGTCCTACTTGCACGGTTATCTTTTAGTCCTGCGTTGGATGATGCAGACTCCAAAGCTTTTTAAAAGACGCCTTAAAAGTGAGGGTGAATCTACAACAAGGAAGCAAATAATTGTTTGTTGTATATGACTAAAACTTTACGTCCAACAAGTGTAACTATAGATTCTTGAATGATGATTAATGACTGATCGCTATATATACAACATCACCACGACTCCATCTGCAATAAAATGGGTGGTGAAATAAGATCCCCCTATGTGGTTGTTTAGAGCTTTATTCGAACATCTTAGTCTAGAGGTCTGCTTTCTTCAGGCTTGTATCTCTCCTCTATTTCACCAAATGAGCATTGTGTATATTGTTGCCATGCAAGAAGTGTACATTTTTATGCTTTCTAACTATTTCGTCATCCCGGCCAAAATTTGGAGCAAGGACGTTAATAGGTTGAGCATTATTGAGTGTTATCTTGATAAAGTATGGAATGCAAGTTTAGTAATAATAGGAGTAGAAACGATGAAGCAATTAAGATTGACGGTCAAGAAATACCAAAAAGAGCGCACTTTCGATATCTTGGGTCGATAATCCAAAAAAATGGAGCGAGATTGAGGAAGATGTCGCACACAAAATTAGAGCTGGGTAGGCAAAGTGGAGATGTGCAACTGAAATTTTATGTGATCACTGCAATACCAATGAAGCTGAAGGGTAAGTTCCATAAGACAGTTGTGAGACCAGCTTTGCTTTTTATGGAACGGAATGTTGAGCTGTCAAAAACCAATATATCCATAGAATGAGTGTAGCGGAGATGAGGATGTTGAGATGGATGAGTGGAAGACAAGAAGGGATAGAATTCAAAATGAATACATTTGAGAAAATTTTAAGTGTGGCACCAATAGGCGATAAGATGAGAGAGAATATTTAGGTGGGTTGGCCATGTGTGGCGCAGACCTAGTATAGAACCTGTTAAGAGGGGCAAGTTAGTTCAAGTAAAAGCCTCAAAAAGGGCAAGGGGTACGCCTAAAAAGATATGGTTAGAAGTAGTGAGAAAAGATATGAGAATTTATGGCCCCTCTAAGGGTATGGCCACTAGTAGAGCAGAATGGCAAACCATGATTCGTGTACCTGACTCCAATTAGTTGGTAAAAGGCTATGACGATGATGATGATTATTTGATAAGGTCAATACTTCTTGAAAAGGATAAAAATTCTTCGTTCAATAAGACAATCTTCCACCAAATCCTTCAATTACTAGATCATATAAGTGTCTGTGTTCGTCCAACATGAAGAGGTAGGCCAAAGTATCTACTAGGAAGTCCATCAGCCCTAGACGCCAGTATTGATGCCCAAATGTCCATCAAGTGTACTAATACCAAACCCCATTTGTTTTTCCTTTCTCATTCACTTCCCAAATACTAGCTCATAGCACCAAAGAAAGAGCTTTTGAGTTCCCAACATAATCCAAAGTGATCCTCAGAATTCTTTAAATCCTTCAATCAATCTTAGGCTCACTGTTGAATTAAGGGGGGGAGCTAGGTATACCGTCCAAGTCAAAAGGTATACTGAGTCATTTCACGACTATAAATAAAACAGAAATTGAATAGGAATACACCTTGTCATACTCCTTTGAAGCTCCTAAGAAAACCCATCACAATCCATTCGCTATGAACAAAATAATATCTTGTAAAAAACACTCCCTAACCCGTCCCTTCCACAAACCCTATAATGCATGCCCCATCAAGTAGTCTCAAAACCTCCAATCCATGTCGCAATGGGCCTTCTCTAAATCCGCTTAAAAAATCACACATGGAATCATTAATTCAAAAAAAAGAAAAGAAAAGGCATGCTTACCCTGCCTATTTGTGGAATCAATGCACATATAACTATCAAGGGTTCTATCCCAATTTTTCCTTCCACCACTTAGTGAATGCACCCCATGGCAATCAAATGCTATAACTAGTAGTCCCCTCATCTTCGTGGCTAAGAGAGTGGCTATTGCTAGAGATAAAGAGTACATAGTTTTCAATTCCATAGACCTTCAACATCATCACTTAGGAACACATTTTTATCAAAACATCAAAAATTTCCCAACGAAACAATCCTCCAATTTATTTTTTTACAGATTTAGAGATGTCCAAATCAGCTCCATCAATCGACCTTCATCTAGCAACTTTATGGAAAGCTGAGATCAAGAAGTTTTTTCCTTTTTTGTGATAAATTGCGTCCTTGCAACTTGCAAATTAAGTTTTCAAACCCCTTGAAGAAGTGCTGTGAAGAAGCGACAAACACCCAATCTAGTACGTCCATCATGAGAAAGGATAGTGTTTGTTCAATTTGATAAAACCTCCAAGAAATTATCACAATAAAGCACACCAAAAATGAACAGTTGTTGTTGTAAGCAATAATACCCTACACATGAATTCAGCCTTTTCCATTACTCGAGCTCGTAGCTCCTTCAACTTGAAATTGAAAAATAGACGCGCAATTTAACCATAGTGTATGCTTATTTATCGTTAGCATACAGATAGTAGTTGCAAATTCACTGATTCAAGAAATGTGCTTTCAATAAAATAACAAGCGAATGAAAAATATCCCGTAATAGACTTCATTATACAGCTTCACATTAGAGAATTCCCAAATCTAGGTTGACAAATAACAACCAAAAAGAGCATCACATTAGTAAACGAGTATCATATTCCACAACCAAAATCCCCGTACGATGAGCTAACTCTCTAAAAACCTATAATTTTGCACTACATAGACAGAACTGTTATTCTGACAAAATATTCAGAATATTTCAAGGAATGAGAAACTATCTACAGTGAAAGCCACTCCATCAAGCCCTACAGTTTCAATTGTATAAAAAATAATGAAGCCAATTCCTTGAAAGAAGTAAACTTGAATAAGAAAAAGCTTCGGATTCAGAAATCAACAATGAGGAAAAATCATGCCAAGCAGAAAGCATAAGAAACAAGGAAACATAAAAATTCAAAACAAAAAATTTCCCCAATAATTTACAGAGAGAGAGTGAGAGAGAGCAGGGGATGGTAGCCATAACCAAAATGAGTGACAGAGACTCACTGGTTAGCAGTAGGAGCAGGAGAGACGGAGGAACGAGGCAGAGCAACAACAGCGGTCGTAGTTTCTCTCTCCTCTTCATTTGCTGTTTCTCTCTCTTCTTCAGAGTCCGACGATGCGTAGTCTACTAAAGACATGGAGAGAGAGAGGGGGAACAATTTTTGCAGGGGAGAGAGGCCTGCCCTCTATAAGTTTGCAACCTTAACCAATCCAATTAAGGTGCGCCTCTAAATTTTATCACAACATATGACTTTGGTGTAAAAAATTATTAGAATTACCTGAAAATCTATTTTTATATCTAATTATAAAATTTTAAATTTTAAAAATGATTAAAGTCAAATAGATCTATACACATATGAGAATCTTGAAAATGGACAGTCTAGATACTATAAGGTTGCATCCTTTAAATGTACAAATTACACATGCACCTTAAAAATTCATCGAAAAAGGTTGTTTTAATGTTGAAAAACCATGTAATTCATCATCTCAACTTTAAGATGTGTAAATATATAAAAAAGAGGTTTTAAGTTCCAAAAATAATGCATGGTACAATATAAACTTTTTTCTCTATTTATTATAGATTTAATAAAGGAAAAGGTTTATATAAGGTTGCAACCTGATAATGTAGAACAACGGAAGCACCTCAAAAATCCATCGGAAAAAGTTGTTGTAATGTTGAAAAACCATGTGATTAATCATCTCAACATCAGATGTATAACTATGAAATTTACAAAGATTTTGAGTCTCAAAAATAGTGCATCTTACAACATATTATCTATACCGTCTATTTTCAAGATTTTCATATGTTTATAGATTTACTTGATTTTAACTATTTTTAAAATTTAAAATTTTATAATTAGATATAAAAATAGATTTTGAGATAATCTCAAGAACATTTTATATTAAAATTATATATTATGATAAAATTTGAAGGTGCACCGTAGTGGGATTGTTTACGGTTGCAACTGTATGGAAACCAGACCCCTTAAGAAATTGAAAATCATGTAAATTTAAAAGGGCTTCTCGTTCAGATATATGAAGGGTGATCGGCCTTCAACTCTTTTCTCCTCCAAGCTTGATGGGAAACTTCTTTATGGAGAGTGAGGAAGAGCCAGACCGTACCTTATATCTCTTTTCTATTTATTTTCTTTTTTCTTAATCCTAACCCATGAAAGGTGTTTATTCTTAAGAGGGAGTGGGGAGATGGTTATCAATAATCATTATCTTAATATTGGATAACCAATTCATTTAAATTGTAGACAATATTACATTTCTATAATTATTGTTAAACCACAAAATAGGAATATTTCTAACATTCTCCTATTTTGGCTAACAATAATTATAACTAAAACTACATCTTCAATTCATGGAAATACAAAATACTCTTCTCAAAATCAAAACTTGGACAATTGAAACTACCAATACCAAAATCATGAAAGCTAATTATATTCCATAAATTATATGAGCAATATCACTCTCTACAGTCTCCCACAAGTAACCTTTATGGTGGATGTTTTTATGGTGGACAAAAAGCCTTATGATATATACTAAAATCCACATCCTACCTAATAGCGGTCCAAAACTTAATATATTATCCTTATCATATATATACCAAAAGGAACTTTGATACATCGAATACATATAAATCAAATTGAATGGATGTCACATATTGTATGCTAGCAATATAAAATCAACCAATCCTCTTGAGTTTCGTGCTTGGTTGTTATTAGGCTTTTTTGAATAGCCAGGGACTCTCCAACATCTCTATAGACAAGATCATCCTCATCTGGCTCCTCATCATAAACTGTATCATCGTCATACCCGTCAGCATCATCTAAGTTTTCTTCCCCAATCATGAGTTGTTTACCTTTATCAAGACAACTATTCGACTCCCTACAAACTCCAACTTTGTGACCTGCCTCCCCGCACTTGAAATAACGGAGAGTTGAGTTGTTGCCCTTAACTCTAGCCCCTAGACCAACACTATTTGGGGGACTAATAGTTGTTGCAGTGGCACCCATGCAGCCCCCAGATGGTGCATCTTCAGGCCTTACACTACGATCATTAAATCGGTCTGTACTGTACAGAGACCCCAATATCCTCTCGTGGCTTCGCTAGCCTTGGTCATACATTGATATTTTTATATCATAAAAGCACGTTGATAGGCTTCTGAAATAGTCTATAGAAGGTGCAAGCTTAGGGCATCCTGAATCGATTGGCCCAGTCATACTATGTATTAGGCAATTAGCTGCTCTTTAGTCTCAGACAAGTTATTTTGCGCCACTAATTGCGTCAATATAATCATCAACAGACTGTCCCGCTTGCCGAAGGGTATGAAGTCACCGAAACATCTTATGGGTGTAGTTTAAGGGCAAGAACTGCTATCTCAACTTTTTCTTCATCTTTTCCCAATTAGTGATCTTCAATTTTGTCTATTTCTGGAGCCCTTTTCAATTGCTCCCATCAGGCTGATGTATGACCCTTAAGCTTAATGGTCACGAGCTTAGCCTTTCTATCATCAGGCACATCTTTGTATTTGAAGATGTGCTCCATAGTCTTCCGCTTGCAATCATTCTACTAACCCCTGCATATCAACTTTAATACCTAGTTCCCAAGATCTGCTGCCCGAAACATAAGGCTCCCAATGAGGAGCGTGCACATGGAATGTTCTCGAAAACATTATCCAACTCACTACCATCATCATAGTCTGTCGGGGCTGGATTTTGCATCAAGCACAGGGTTAGCTCCTCTAATTGCCTTTTCAAATATGTGATCTCTATATCTCAAAGGTCTTGCTCTCTTTGGATTGGCTCATTCTTGATATATGACTGTCGAGCACGTCCACGAGCCATGTTGCCTTATCGATAAGCATTGTGATCACACAAAGAATTGATTGACATTCTGATATCACCTGATGCAGCTAAAAATTGCCGGCTATCGATATCTGACAAATACAGCCACATTTTAGAGATAAATAAAAAACTAAGGATAAATCATTAAAAAGAAGCACGTACGCAAAGATTCAAGACCTCCTCACGCACCGTCAAGAGTAAATAAAAGATGCAACTCTTCTTTCTTTCTCTAACTCACTTTCCACAAGTTCAGTGAAAAATTCATCTGCCAAACACAGTTGCATCTCCTTTTATTAAACCCCTCTTCTAATGTCCCATATTCAAAGATAACTTTTACAAATTTTCCTTCCCAAAAGAAACACTTACTTATCTTTACCGACAATCCAATCTCTTCCCTATGGAAAAAAAAAAAAAAGAAGAAGAAAAAAAGCAAGAAAAGAATAAGAGGACGTCACATATCCAAGAGGTAAGTACCTTATCTCTTAAAACTCATGCACAAAGAAAAATACTTCCAAACTAAAAATAGTTTACGAAAAATAATACTTGTTAAAAAAATAAAGAGAAAAAAAAAAAAATTAAATAAATGCTAATCTAATTTTTCCGACCGTGATCCTACAACTCCTTATAATAGTTCGATCATTTCGACTGCATCATTCAAGTATTGAAAATAGTGCATATTGTAAGGCATCATCTAGACCATCTACTTTCAAGATTTTCAAATATTTATATATCTACCTAATCTACACGTTCTTTTAGAGCTTTAAATTATATGATTACGGATGAAGAGAATGTTTAAGTCATCACAAAATTTTCTAGCACCAAAACTACATCTTTTAGAATAATTTACAGGCACGCATTACTTGGATTGTTTAAGGTTTATACCTTATATGTATTACATATGGTGATATGCAAAATCACCAAAAATAAGGAAATCTCATATTATGTGGGATTGTGATTGGTATTGAAATTGATATTGATAAGTTTTCCAAAGCAAATATAAACAAAAAAAGATTAAGATACTAGGTTATCTCTTGGTTTTTGAGATATATGTAACATCTATAAGAAGTTTCTATGTTGTGGGAATTCCTAATCTTATATATAAAAATAAGAGATGAAAGAATATGTATGCCCTATTTGAGACACCATATGAGAAATGTGGCTTCCTCTAGAGAGAGAGGTAGAGGCCTTCTGTGCATCAGGGGCAAGTCCTCCCCATAGAGAAGAGAGCTTCCCGTGAAGAGAAACCTACGATGGTGTCACCTTGCCTCCCCTTGGAGAGACCAGAGCTCTCCTTTAGACTAAGAGGTAGTTTTTATTGTAGAAAAACAATTCCTATAGAGATTTTAGGTGATTTTTCCTAGTGATAGAAAATCTTAGTTGCTCTCAAAGTTCTCTTCTAGGATAGTGGTTTAACTGTATAATAGAGATGAATCTCTTTTTGGATAGTAATTTGGCTGTGCAATAGAAGAGTTCGATGGGCGATGACAGTCAGGAGATCGAATTTAAAAGGGTTGCTCGACTAGGTTTTGTCGATGATTAAAGAGGCAACTCTGTGTCCCAAAATATGTGATGTAACTTTCATTGATATAGTGGATTTCTGCTTGCCATGCATGTATGATGTAGCCTTTTTAAGGTGAACTATGTAAATCTTTGTGCTCTTGTGAAATGTGTGTTTTATTTTTTATTTCTAGTATTATAGCTCGCAGTCTTGCCTATTTTGTTTTTAGCAAGATAAGTACATGTTACTGGTGGGATCTAATTTTTTGAGATTCATGTTTCCGCATCTAAGAGGGTTCTTAAATCCTAACAAAATCTACACCCTTTAAATATATAAAATTATTTTTACCCAATGTTCAAAAATTTGGCTTGGTTAGCCGAACCAATACTAACTCTTTCTAGCTGGACGAGCCAACTCATCGGGTTAGCTCGAGTAACCAAAAATTAGTGTTTGAATATTCAAATCCAAGAGATGAATCGTTTACTCCATAGACTGCTTGTTGGATCACTGGATCAAGGATTCATATCAGGCTGGATCAGTCTGAAGCAATGATTTAAAAAATATTAAAATCTAAATAAGATAAAATAAAAAGTAAAATAGGAGTTTATGGGATGGGGATTTAGGGGACCTATGAAAATGTTAGACATACCTCCAATAT